AACTCTCCCAATTTAGATTTTCTTCTCTGTTTCCATTAATTTTTGCCCACTCGCATCTTATTAAATGTTTTCTTTATTAGTTTATTCAAATTCTCCCACGTGGTTGTCATACGCCAAAATTTGACTTTTCTTTTTTGACATTCGTACTTGTCAACTTAGTTTCCGTTTCCTTTAACAGTAATTTTTCTTTTGATTATCTGCTTCAAATTTCCCTTTTACATATGAATTTTCATATTTTCTTGTTCAGTGTTCTAATTTTCTTTATAGTTTTGTGGGGAAACATTTTTGGCTAAAATCGTTTTTATAGCTAACCATAATATGGCCAACTTTTTTTTCGCCCAGCAAAATTTTCAAGTAGCTGTTACTCAAAAAGTAAAAGTCGAATAAAAAAAATATTTCCATCAAAAGTTTCTTATTTTTTATGTACTTTAAGAATATGTAAAAAAAATGGGGGTTCCCATTTAAAAAAATAAAGTCCACCTCGATATGGATGGTCAGCTATAAAAAAAATGAATTTAGCCAAAATGTTTCCCCTCAAAAAACTATAAAACTTTTATCTGAAACTTTTTTTCTTAAATGCATATTTGTGGCGGTATTTAACTGTAACACTTTAATTTGAACACCCGGTATAGTAACTCCCTTGATATTTGTAAATATATACGATTTGGTTCAAAGCATGTTACTGAAATAAGTGTAATATCCATAAGCAACTGTGTATTACTATTATTTTGCTTGTCATAATGTATGTTGAAATTACCGGTTAAGACTATGTTAATTCCGTTTTCATTTTTCCATTAAAATTATATATGTAAAAAAAGTAGATTATTTTTTTAATTCCATCTTAAACTTTCTTGCCTTTACTACTATGTGCCACTACTAGATAATTGTTACTTTTTGTACTGCTTCTTTGTTTTAAAATAATTTGTCTCATGAAGATACCCTACCTGTTACAATAAATTGTTATAAGTACTAAGTAGGTACCTACCTTTCATTATTGAATCAAAAAAACACTAAAATAAATAATTTTTTGTATGTAATGGAAGTTTTCTTTTACCAATTTTAAAAAACTTCTTCAGAATATCTTACAATAAAATATTGGCTACACTACATAATTAATGCACTGTTCTTAGAGAATATAATACTGGCAATGGGTGTAGCATTATGCGAGTTGAGGGTAATTTAGAGGCAAAGTAAAAAAAATTATTTGTCTATTATTTATTTACACAAGAAATTGAACTTAGGTTATTTGTTCACAAAAGCGATACCTACAAGTACGTATTCTTAGTTTTTCGTAATCGAAAAGAGCTCAAACTAGATATTTACCGTATTTTGATCAATAGTTGTGAATACTGATCCTTTCATTAATAAAAGTGGTTCAAAAACATATATTAAAAATTAAATGATTAACCATCAAATCACGAATGGAACCACGCACAAGCGCACATGATGATTAGTGAAATGACAAATGACGTTAATGTAATTGGGCTATCTTAAAAGACGGTCTCGCTACTGAAAATTGTTGTTGGCTCCAGACTCCAAGTTTGGGCTATTTTTGAATTGTAGATAGCTCTAATAAGTTTTATTCTTCGCTTCTTATTTTATGATGGCGAAATGCGAGATCCATATCTAGTGTGCACTGAGTGCATTTTCACCGTCAAACAGCAGACTATGGAATAATCAAAAAAAGCGCCAGCTTCGTATGTTAGCATAGGAAGTTCTGTGGTGTCTGTCATTCTGTCAATACTGTCAATTTTAAATCTTTTTAAGGTTATAATCTGTTACGAATTTTTGATTATCTTGTTTTACCTACTATATACTATTTTTAAATTAATAATGCCAAAACAAGCGAAGGGGCCTGCTGGAAAGTATGAAAAAAACAAAAAATATTATAATAAGGATTGGTAAAAAGAAAAGGAGTTTCAAGGTAAGTGTAATAAAAATAATTCGACTAATTTGGTGTTGGTTTGTAATCTAGTTATGTTTTTTGTATGGTGCATTTTAGGATGGTTGGAAGAAAGTAAAAATGAAATGGTGCCTTTGCAAATTTTGTAAATCTGAACTTAGAGCCCAAAGAAATGACCTATCCAAACATGTCAAAACAAAAATGCATTTAATGAATCAAAAAAAACTTGCATGTAACTTCAAAAGATCAATTGAAATTAAGTTCATTGGGTATGCATGGGTAATCAAATATTTTAAACAAATTAACTTACATTTTTTAATATTAATTTTAGGTGTCTCCTCAATTGCCACAATAACTGACCAGACAAAAAATGCCGAATTACAGTAGTTACCAGTCTATATTGCCATGCATTCTGCAATTAGATTAATTGATCGATTAGGGGAAATCATGAACAATATTGGCATTAAAACAAAAAATGTAAGGCTTCACAGAACAAAGTGTTCCAGTATATTAAAACATGTTTGTGCTCCAGCTATACTTAGTGATCTTATTAAAGATATAGGAGACTCACTGTATTCTCTTGTCATAGATGAATCAACAGATATTTCAGTAAATATATGGTTATATGCATTAGATATTTTAGTGTCAGGAAAAATGTTATGTGCACTAAATATTTGGGTATGTTTGAAGTAGGGAGAACAAGAGCAGAAGATCTTTATGAAGGTTTAGTGTCCTTTCTTACTAACTATAAATTGAATATTAAAGGCCTAATTGGGTTAGGCACAGATGGTGCAAACAGTTTATGCGGAAAATACAATTCTTTGTATACTAAAAAATGACAATCCAAATTTAATATTAGTTAAATGTGTATGCCAGTCCATCCATCTCTGTGCTTCAAAAGCAACAGAGCAGTTCCCCACAAGTCTAGATTTTCTTATTAGGGAGACATATAATTGGTTCGCACATAGTCCTTTAAGAAGATTAAATTATGAAACTATATATACTTTAATAAATGACACCATTAGATTTTGGACAACAGTCCTTAATTATGAAAATGCTATTAAGGAAAAGCCATTTTATTTATTTTTTTTTTTTTTTCAAAAACAGTATTAGGGCTTTTAAGCATCCCAGTAAGTAATGCTGTAGTAGAAAGAGTTTTTTCTATTTTAAATTCGGTTAAAACTAAACCGAGGAACATAATTTTACTAACACTTTTAGATGCAATTTTAAGAGTTAGGGTTCTATTTTCATTCAAATGGTTGTTGTAAAGGTTTTAAGCCAACAAAAAAAAATGATGGAATTATTTAAATCTTAAATGTATTTGAATATTATGAACGATAATATGACAGATATTGGGAGAGAACTTAACGATGAAGTTTGGGAAGAAGTTCAAAAATAATATAAAAATTTAATATGTATAATATAAATAATATTATTAATATATACTTATTTTGTTGTAAATAGTAGTTTTATTTAAATAGGTAAAAAGTCATGGGTTGGAATAAAAACCTAACTTTGTATTAATAGCTTTACTTGTAGAGCGATCAGCAACAGTTTTTAACTGCAAATCGCATTCGCATTGAATATTTGGCGTTCATAATTATTGATAATTTCCAATTATTAGTTCTATGATTATTAGTTGGGTGTTCCTAGTAAAAAATTTAGTGAATTGGATATGACTATTCTCCAAATTTTTAATCAGAGTCATGTGCACTTTAAATATTGTTTGTAACTTACAATTTTAGCTGTGATTTTGTAAGTTATTTTTGCGATTTGAATTTGTTTCGATTTTATATATTACCAAGGATGCGACACATGCGCAATCTAAAATAATCAACCGTTGCAAACTAAGAACAAATTCTAGTATCACTGGTTGCATAATTGGCTCCTTTGGGCTACTTTTCATCATAGTTTTGGCCATTTCTAGTGAAAAATATCTAGCAAACCTGGCGAATGCTTAGAAAAAACTACCTAGCGAACTCAATATCACATTTTACGTTTTAAGTCACATTGTGCTTAATAATAAACAGTAAATGATTAAAATAAAATAATATAAAATAAAATAATAAATTATAATAAAAGTGAAGAAAACTAGAACTAAAAAAGGAGACACCTTCAAACCACCCAAAAATTTAATATTTAATCAAGATATAAATCAAAGGTTGGAAATTTTTCTTAGTAGTCTTAACATATACTTAAAAGCCATAGGCTTAGACAAGATGAAGAAACAAAAATTGCAATTTTGTTAAACCACGCCGGCGAAGAGGCACAGAAGAGATTTAGAACTTTTGATATAGATGAAGCTCAGAATAAAGATTATAATAAAGTGATAAAAACATTTAAAGATGAGATAAACCAATGAGAAATGAAATATACGATATAAATTCTTCATTCGTACTCCACAAGCAGGTGCGACAGCGAAACACTTTATAACTCAGATAAAAGTATTAGTCTCGGTGTGTAATTTTGGGACCATATAGGATTCATTGGTACGAGATAGGATTGTCAGTGGAACATCAAATCTAGTACTTCAACAACGAATGTTCCAAAAAACAGGATTAATAAGAAAACTAGCGACAGAAGCATGTCTCTCTGCAGAGGCAAGTCAACTACAGGCAAAACACCTTCGAAGTGAGAAAGAAGTAGATTTTATACAAAGATCTACAGGTGCAAGTTAAAAAAGTGAAAGCAAAGGTTATCAACAGGCTTTTCGCAAGGTAACTAGTGACTTTTTTGCGGTCGATCACATAATGCACAAAATTGTCCAGCATACGGGAAAACTTGCTCAGTTTGTCAGAAACCTAATCATTTTGCTGTAGGATGCAGGTTCAGAAGTTCATATTTTAAAACTGGTAAATTTTCACAAAATAATTATGGTAACGTTAACAGAAATTTAAATGAGATTGTAGATACTAATAAAGATGTAAAAGCTATTGATATGCCATTCATCGATGATATAGCATTGTATAATGTTGATGGTAACAGTTTAATAGTAAATCGTAAATTCTATAATTAATAATAAGAATGTAACATTTAAAAAAAATGACAGCAGAAACAGATAGTATACTTAATTAAAAGATTCCTTAACCAATAAACCATGAGTTCTATGGACGTTGACCCCACTGCTGGTGCCTCAGGCATTAATTTAAATAATTCCGAAAGAACCCGTATAGCCAAAAGAAATGCCCAAATTGATATTTTGCTCAGACTCTTTGATATAATAGCTGAAACCTTCCCTAGAGACACTTTCCCTACCCATCAAACTGCAGAAATCGAAATGCAATTAATTGACCTTGACAACTCTAATGCAGCAGCAGGCATCCTCTCTACAGTTTTTACTTATTTAAGAAAGAAACAAAATAATCCCACCGAAGCTGCTAAAATGTTGAATCTTAAAACCAACGTTGAAGGCACTATTATAAATATATCTGATATTGTCAAAAAATTTGAAGAGGAAGGTTTCGAAATCGATTTCCTTATTGCAACTCCCTTGATGAATATTTTTTGCGCGTTTAAATTAGCTTTTGATGAAACCAGAACAGGGGCGACGAAAGTAATGTTAAAAGACGATTATTTAAGAAAACATGGGATAATTTCTAAAGATTCAACAAACCAGAAACTAGAGAAAAACGACCCGAAAGAGAGTATAAATATAAACGCTTTTGGCTTAACCAATCAACATATCTGCCTTCTGCAAGGTATAACATTTACTCCCTCCAGACGCACTGGTTTATTAAGAACATTAGGGCCTATGACACAATGTATAAGTGTAATAAATGAAACTGGCGCATATACTGATAAATTGCAATCAGCGACTAAGAATACCCTGAGAATGCTACCTATGGTCAATGAGATATCAAATCATTTTAAAGACGCCACAGTACCTGGTCAAGCTGCAGGAGTATTAAAAGAACTTGCAGACATTCTTACATTATCTACTGCCAGGTCCACCCAAAAGATTTTTGCACCAATAGCCTTATTAAGATTTCTCTGGCCATTCAAAACAGACGCTTGGAGCGCAGCTGGTCCTAATATGATGCACTTTATTGATTCGAACATAAAATTATATAAAATAAAATTTGTTATGAGAACAGGGGGTTCAGAGGAAGATACAGCACAAGTTATTTTTCACTCCATATATGGTACTTATCTCGAAGATTTAGGTATTCTTTCGCAAATAACAACTAAAAAAGCATGGAAAACAAGAAGGGAAGTAGAAGCTGTATTTACAAAAAGGGCAACAAAAAATTCTTTAATAATTAATCCCATCACATTTGTATTTTATTCCAAAATGGCAACTTCGCTGCTCACAAAATGTTAAGGAAATGTTGAACCAATGGCAACTGGAAGACCCTCTTTTTCAGGAACGCGGAAGAGGCACTACTCAGAGTCTTTTAAAACATACTTAAAGACTGGAAAAGCAACAACATCTTATTCAAGTGACCCTACTCAATTACAATTTCAACCCTCTGGGAGGTTCAATTAATTCACATTAATTTTCAAGAGATAAAGGGGCGGGATCAGATTGTAATTAGGATTGTACATTTTAGGGTGCTTGGTACCGGTGTTGCTTGGTACCGGTGTTGTTTGGTACCGGTGTTGCTTGCTACTGTTGCTGGGCACGGTGCAGCTGTATGGTAGTGAAGATACTGCCTAGTACTAGCGTTTTCGTGACTGGTATTGATTATGTACTTCCTCTTTAACGAAGAACAGCCATTTTGGGGTTCGAACACCTCATCTACTTTTCTAGAACATCAGAGATTTGGTATCATAGGACTACATGCCACAGGTGGCAACGCTAGCCTTGAATAGCACGGACCAGGAGATAAGTGGAAATTATGTATTTATTTTTCTATCGTTTCGGTTATAATTTGGGGTTTATTATTTAGTCTACCACTGATACGTATATGTATACAGTTTTCTTTATGATTTTATTTGATTAAATAACGTTGTGTTCATATGCTATTGAAGGCCCTCATTGCCTATGTTTTCATGGTTAGTTCATATATCATAATTCATAGTGTTTTATAATAAGAGTATGTTTCACATTGTTTAGTGATACAAATACTATTTTAGTTTATAAGTATTTTGGATATGAACTTCTGTAATATACAGAAATTACAGGATTTTTAATATTAAATGAAGTTAACCTTTTCTATGAGTTGCGCTTGATATGTCTTTCGCCTTGGATCCAACGCTAATGACCGTGGGGTATTGAGAAGTAATACTATTGATTTTATTTATTGGGGATTTTATTGGGGTACTGACAAGTAATATTATTGATTTTATTGAGATTCAATAAACTAACCCTGTCTAATTTCTGTACACTGCGCTAAAATATTGTAAATACTGGTATTAATTTGGGGTTATGATTAGCCTTCAGATATGTAAGTAAAAATCTAGTCCTTCTAGCATATGAATTGTGTTTGGAGTCGCTAATAGCGCTCTAATTGTAAAGGGGTCATTAACTAAGGGGAAACTATCTTCCAAGTAGGAAATAAACAAGGTTTGAGTTAAGGTTGTCTTTTATTTTTCTATTTATTTGGTAGGTTTAAAAGTAGGACTTTTCTGATTTGTAGTGGCTTGGTATAGTAGATCTACCTGGCGTCCAATTTAACAGAACAGCTAAAATGATTTATTTTTCCCTGATTACGAAGTAATCACCCACTCCCTTCTCCACTTGAGTGAACCGGAGCTACAAGGTTGACATCAGGGACAACCGAACTTAAAGTAACGTTTTGGGGGTTACAATTTGGCGCCCAACGTGGGGCTAGTTGTAACTGCATGCCTTTAAATACTTTTCATTATTTAGAATTAAATCAAAATAGTGTCAATAGTAGTGCTGCAATCCTAGTGACGTATGGTAATAATAAAATAAAAACTAATGGGGTCTGTTACAATAAACTGTATAATAAGAAGGGTTTGGTACAACATCAAATTCTTACTAGTCGAAAAAGCTAATATTCCCATTCTTGGCTTAAATACTGGTGTTAGTCTAAACTTAATAAAACAAGTTGATCTTGTGAGAACTTCTTTTATAGATAAAAATAAATTTGTCAAAAATAATAAACATATATTCACAGGTACAGGCAAAATTCCTTTTGTATATAAAATTGTGTTAAAACAAAATGCTAGTCCAACCAATTCGAAGGAGTGCTTTGGATGATTAAATAAATAAAGATATCATAATTAAAGTTGAAGAACCTACTGAATAGGTCAATAATATTATAATTGTAGAGAAACCAAACAAAACTGTAAGAATTTTTCTAGATCCCTTACAACTTAATAAAAATATTTGTAATGATCAATTTTACATACCTACTTTAGAGGAATTGTCATTGAAACTAAAGAGTAAATCAATATTCACCATACTAGACTTAAAAGAAAGTTGTTACCATGTACCACTTGACAAAGATGGTATGAAATATTCTTGTTTTATAACGCCTTTGGGAAAATTTTGTTTTAAACATTCACCTGTTGGACTAAACATGAGTCCAGAGGTTTTTCAAAAAATGAATGAGAAAATGTTTGATGACCTTGGCATTGGCATATATTTTGATGATTTTATAGTAACAGCTGATACAGAGGAAAAGCAAGATATACTTCTAGCTGAAGTAATTATGAGAGCTAAACAATATGGTGTAAAATTTAATGAAAATAAAGTCCAATACAAGGTAAGTGAAGTGAAATATCTAGGACAAAATTTTTCTAAAGACGGTGTAACCTATGGAATGAACTTGGTGATTCCACCAAAATTTATAAACTAAAAAAAAATTATTAAAGTATTAACTACAATTAAAAATGTTGTCTACTACGGTTACACAAGTTTCGGTTGTTCCGGTGTCAACCTTCGGGCCTTCGACGTCGCTCAGACGGCAGCTAGGGGGTGGATAGCTTACAATAATTCCGGAAATAGTAGACAAATGAGTAGGCGCCAACTGGGTCTATATAGTGGCCAAACTATGATCCTATTTCCCCAAAAACCCAGTAAATGAGGAAAGAAATAAAAGACAAACCTCAACTTATGTTCCTTTATAAAGAAAAAAATATTTACTAAATATACAGACTAATTTACCTAATGGCTTAGGTAATCATAAAAATTGGAGGAAATTAAAGAGAAAATTTACACTGTATATGTATATGCATAACCCAAAATAAATTATTAAATCAAAATATGGCACGGTTCGTCGTTAGCTTGGTACCAGGCATGACGCATGCGCAAAATATTAATTTCCACCTTACATAAAAAATAAAATAATAGTTAACTTAAATATTGTGCATAACCGCACCTATACTACATCGTATATTATAAACTAAACAGTAAACTTATAATCCTTATAAGCTTATAACCCTCTCCAAATTGGAAGGCGATATCTGCTTAACTTTTAGTTAAGACCAAACTACCCAAAAGAAAATTATTAAACCATGAAATTTTATAATTAAGTATAATTCATACAACTAAATAAAAATATAAAAATAAAATAAAAATACAATGAACACATAAAGGACTTCAGACACAGAGGTTATTTACTTAAACTCCCAGATTGGAAGAGGTTACTTAATCTCTGCCCCCACACGGGTCTTCTGAGATTGCTTAACTTAATCGTTAAGTCTGGACCATTTAATAATGAATAAATTAAAAAAAGTAAAATTATGGCAGTAGCCCTTAATAACTGAAGAATTACAACTTAAACGTGGAAGCAGTCCAAGTATAAGAAAAACCTGATAGTAGGGTGTCTTCTTTCACAGCATTCCCATCTTCCTATCCAGAACGAGAATCATCATTGTAAATCTAGCTACAAGTAAGCTAGGTGGTTAGCATACCAATGTTCTGTGTTCCCTCAATGAAACCATTGAACTCCGGACGATATAACCCTCTGTGTACAACTGTTGAAATCCTGGGTCAACAACCCCTTGGGTCAAACTGTCGTCGAATCCTGGGCTAACAACCCCCTGGGTTAAACCCTTAAAATATTACAAAGAAAAATGTCAATACACATTGACTCAAGTATCCCGAACTATAGGATTACCCAAAAATGTACATAAATTAGAAAATATTCAGCATCTAGGATAAAGAAAAATTACATTGGCTCAACAGTGAGTCATAAACAGTATTATGAGCTCAAATAATTAATATTCTGTTACACCATGTCATAACATAAAAGAAATTGACACATGGTGCGTAACATAACCAAATATATACAAAACATACCTTTTTCGTAAAGGGTTAACTTGGTAGTCTTCCAAGGATGAGAAACACGTGAGAAGATCCACAGCACAACAATATTCCACACTCCATATGCTGTGAACGTCCAATTCTTGCGTTAAAATCCTATAATAGATATGGGCTGGACCAATGACCATAGGAATTTACCAATACACTAAAATTCCTCTCAAAATACGAAATGTCCATTTACCCACAATTAACCATGAAATAGAATCTAAAATCCCCTTTAATTAGGGTAAGCCGATGGGGCTAAATATTAAGAAAATTCTACTTCGACACAAAAATCGTCTTCGTCGTGATTCAACACCACTGACAGAAACAATACGTCAGCCGTCCAAAATGGCCGAAATCCCTTTCCGATAAATGTCAAGTGGGTTCAGAAATTCATCCTCAAGAATTACCCACTATATAACTTAAGAGACCATTTACGAAAGGTACCCTAAAAACTATATTTATTTACAGTATAACTACATTTGGGAAACTGTTCCCGACAAAAATTAATACAACAGCGATCGCAAAAAAATCCCTCACGACTTAAAATCGCTCATTGTGAAACTACCTTACCTCGGGTTCTGAGCCCGATATTGGAACGTACTACAAACATGACACTTGTCGGTGTTCTGTCGTCAAGTGACGTTTATGTCATTCACTGTCACAATTAAGAAATATTAACCTAATAAAAATAAACAATGAAATTCTTAAAGAATGGTATCGTAAATAATTAATTACCCAAAGGTGAGACTATAATATATAATATGTATAAATTTACAACGAAACGTGGTCTATTTTTAGGAGAATCTGGCAAATTAAAACAGTGAACACTACACTGAAAATATGACCATTGTACAAAGTATTATACTAGGGGTGAGCTACCATCCTTTTACTTAGTCATGAGATGAAATAAATTATAATAATGATGTCCGAAAGTTAGAATACAGGTGAAATTAGTTAATGACCAAAATAATAGTGATATCATCCATACGATTTTACCCTTTTTTTTCGTATGATTAACCAGGTAAGCCAAAACAATGTTATTAATTCGTGGGGCCAAAAATGAACGTTACAACGGAGTCAAACCAAGTCCAGATTATATA